TACAAGAAACTAACTAGAAAATATAAACAAATTAATCAAAGAAGATTAAAAACACTACAGAATCATGACTTTGTGCAGCTTAGGAGATTTACTTATTTGTAATCTACAGATATTTTGATTCACTATTTGAAACAATTTATTGGAATATGTTTTTCACTGAGTAATAAAAGGAAAGAAATGAGAGTTTTTTGGTAAGGACGATAGTAGAAAGACTGTAAAAGGCTGGGTGGTTTTCAAAAGAACAATATAACGTAACATTAGGGAAAATAAAAAATATTCAAATGACAGTATGGATGTAATGAGGTTGGAAAATTATATTTATAAAAGTATTTGTGAAAATTTCTTGTCTTCGATAATTCAAATGATCTATATTTTGATGTTAATCTAAGGGAGAGTTAACACCACGAATTATAGGCTCAGAGAACATTAAGTTCAGTAACTGCACTGCAAGCATGTTTGTTTGAACATAACTGTATTACATACAAATTAAAATTATTCTTTAAAACCAAAGAAATAAATTTTTTTCTCAAAATAAAGGGACAATAATATTTCACAGACCCAAGACATATTACTAAAACATAAGATTCCCAAACAAATACACATATTTATGGATGTCCACTATACTTCTCAAATTGTTTTGATTATGTTTCATGTCTTGCTGGTAAAAAAAAAAAGAAGAAAACTTTTTTAAGCATTATTGTAGATTTCTGTGATGTTCCGGAGAAATTCATGCATAATGCATGTTCATATACTTTTCTATTTACTATATATTATGAGAAAGGTGGCTCAGAGCATCAACTGATGACATTGCAGTGCATCTGACCAGCACGTCCTGGGTTTGAGTCCTGACAGGGGCATGATTTTTGACAATAGCTAAAGAGCTAGGTCAACTTTGTTGCTGTCCGGAGGATAATTCTAGCAGCAGGATGCTCTGACTGGCAGTTGTCTGTGGTTTCCGCAGTCAAAAGCAGGTGAATGCCACAGAAGTATCCTAACAAATGGGCCAGGGCCTGTGCATGATCCTTCCTTCTTCCTTGTCCTATCCTCATTCCTTACCTTCACACAATTACAAAACATGCACTACACTACCACACATGCCGGGAGGCTGGTCAGGAGACTAGAGCTTGTCTTGGCTGGGACGGTTCCCCACCGTGCCAGGGAGAGATACTTTGTTGGGGACAGCTAGCTGTCAGGTAGGTTGGTGCTAGATCTCACCATCAAGTTAGGGAAGATCACCCCCCCCAGGAAAACACACACTTTACTTACGAGACTAACGATCTTAGCAATTGACGCACCGAGAATTACTAATCAATCAATCAACTTTTTCATATAATATTGCATGTTTAGACTTTTCTCTAAAGTAAGTACTTATTCAGCAGATTCTTAGAATCTGATAAAACAAAATGTCATTAAAAAGCTTCTCTTTCTGAAATTTTCTTAAGTTTGGAAAAACAACAACTACAGAGCAACTCTCTTTCTGTCAAATGAAATACAGTCACAAGATATCCTTTGAACTGAACAACAACTGACCTGTAAATGAACAATATATGGTTCTATTACACAGGGAAGTAAAAGTGCCTGCTGAGATTCTACTGGCCGACCGCAGACAGATGTTGCTGTGAATTACAGGTCCTTGCTCTTGCAAGAGCATTTGCACAGTTCTCAGAGATTGCCCCACACAAAGGCATTTTGCAAACTGATGGGAAAATGAAGGGTGAATGTAAAGAAGACATTTCACATAGATGCATTAGAATGAATTGTTCAGGGATTTGATGCTGGAATGGCAAATTAACTGTTTCAATTTTCTTTTGTGACATTTTTAGAAATATAATTTTTAACATTCAAAACTTTTTTTCAGACAAGGATCTTTAGGATAAAAATGTGGAAAAATTGTTAATTGCCACAAAAGACAGAAGAAACAGTAAATTGCAACAAATTACAACCAAAACTGCCTATTGAATTCATCTTTTCCTTTAATCATGGACTATTTGATAGAGTCCTGCTTGCATGCATATTCTAGGATTTAGCTATAGATGAAACTCATATCTTTACTTATCAATATATTTAAGAGAAAAATAAACATTGAAGCATATATAATAACAATTTTATTTGTTCACATAAAACAACAAATATTGCACTAGCTGTACTTGTTATTAGAACATGCACATTTCAACATGAATATAACAATTGCGATTACCTGAAATTTTAATTCTAAAAATACTTAATTCAATTTTAATGTGCTTCTGACAAAAAATTTGTAACTGTTCAGCAACCACATAAAAAATAGAGAAGAAAAAATTATGTCTTACAGCTTCATTAGCTACTTTTTGTAAAGAGATAATCAAGTAATGCAATTTCCCATACATAAAACCATTTCTCTCTCCAGTCTCATGTAATTGCAGCAAAATAGTAAATACATACATTTATATAATCCATTATCAGCAATAATTGAATCAGTTCTTCCCATTCAAGTCATTTAAGAGTCAATCATTACAATTGCTGAATGGTAAACACATATTTTGACATCTGATATGATCATATTTTGGTCTTCATTAACTAGAATAAGAACCCTAAAATGTTTAACTCTAAATCAACAATAAATATAGTCAGAATAAAAATAAATTTGCCATCAATTTGCGTATAAAACATATTATTTTAGACAGTAGAACTTGCTCAATGTGGAAAGGGAGCAGTATTCCTTTTAGTTTTTTATTATGCAATGTAATTCTATAAAATTCATGTTTGCCAGAATTGCAGTTTATATTCACATTGCATTTCCGCATTATACATTTTCCACATTGGATGAGTTTTACTGTCATACACTGATGAAAAATATAAGTGTTCATGATTGTCACCATTGTCATTGAGTATTTATGACAGGAATAAGAAATAAGAAACTGTTTGTAGCATTGGTCTTCTTGGAAGCTCAGTAGTTAGAGCAACAGGGCTCATTTCTAGTTAGAGTGGCAATCGCTTTAAACAATTTTTGCTATTCCCCACAAATCTAAGCAACATTTAAATATATGTAAAAATGTTTGTTCTAAGTTACTTTGAAACAGAGAAAGGTCCTCGAGTCCATGTCTTCTTGGCTGTCGGGGTCATGCCATGTCGTTGGCTGGGAAGCTGATGTTTTGCCTGTCACGTTGCAGGCTTCCTCAGCCACTGATGAGTCACTGCCCTGAGGAAGCCTGCCACATGGCAGGCGAAACATTGATCCCCAGCAAATGACGCGGCTCCCCTGACAGACAGAAATACAAGGTAGATTAGATGCTGGATTCACAAGGACATGATGTTTAATAACAAGACAGAATTTGAAATAATTTTTCACATGAAACCATTACTAGAATACTTGGTGATTAGCACACATCAACAATATATATTGGAAAATTGCTTATTATAATGCAATTTAAAGGTGCATTATCAATTTGTACAGAAATATACTTACAGGTAGTATTTAATTAAGTTATGTGTTTATTAATTATTATAGGATATTTACTTTCAAAGAACTCATCACACGGTAGATTATTACAATGTCCAGAACCCTTTTAGCTGTTAAGAAAAATAATTCAAAATAAAATGCATCAATCTTGATGCAAAATCATAAATTTTTGAAAGGATGGAACTTGCAACAACTTTTCATTCATAATAGTATGTTAGGCATCAAATGTTTCCTTGGTAGTATACATTTTCTAGAAATAAAAAAAATAAAACATTATTGCGATTTGATATCAATGCTAGCTAGCATAAAACAACGGTTCTCATTATCAAAATGAACGACATGTGTTTGATGCAAACGTTGGCTTCCGCGGCCAGAGTCATGAAAAGGCTCTTGGCTCTTCGGGAGGCACTGTAACTCTTCAGTTTGGTGGAATATGTCAGTAAAAAATTATGTACCTTTTCAATTGTTATCAATCAGATGAGCAGAATTAACAATGAATATGGAAAATAAATATTGCACTTATTGTAAATTATGAGCACAAAAATGCCCTAAATTGGTATTTCCAAAGCAACTACAGCATTGTGAACAAAAATTCACTAATTAAAGAGTTGGACGGCACACTGGTAAAAAATGTAGTTAACAAAGAAATAAAAACAAAGGACTTCAGATTACTAATAATAAGTATTTGTAGTAGATGGCAAATAGCAATGTAATGTAACCACTAACTATTCCATGCCATTAGAAATTTCTCTGATGACAGCAACATTCACAAGAACAATGGCACAGAAAAAAGCAAAGGTAAATTGTCTAAAAGTCCTGATTAGTACTTTGAAGCGACAGACTTACTGAACTTTCTAAGCATTTACAAGTACAGAAAAAATATATTTAATAAATATAACAATATACAAGTCCAACTTAAAAGAATATTTTCTTTCAGTTTAATTTTACAATATTAGTCCTCCACTTACAGTTGAGACCAGTCAAATTATTAGATTAGAGTTAATGAAAAAGACAAAAATGTAATTGCATCCTTAGATCTTCACAGTTAACTGTGTGTTGACATTACAACTTTTGAGCAAAGAAATCTAATAGGCTACCAGGTATAGGTATTCAGGAATATTGAGGAGAACATGTGTTGCATCTTGTAAATATTATTTGAAGAAAGTATCATCAAAATGAGATTAGAATCAATGAAATCAGCAAAAAAATGCATTAGAAATTATAGAAAAAGGTAAAAAATGATTTTAGTGTCAAAATCCATGAAAAATGCAAAAAAGTGATGCATAAAATGGATTATTTTCTTGTTTCATAACACAAAATGAATTTCTATACTTTACAGCATTTTTCTTAAGTGAAAAGGAAAACAATGACATTTCATTAAAATCTGCACCCTATTTCTGAGCATAGTTTTTTTTGACCTTTTCTTCAGTTTCTTTTAACTGTAAATGGAACATTTTGCTGTGGGAGTCATGTTAGGAAGATATTTTCCAACTTTCTTTTGTTTTGTGGCATGGAGTATAGTCAGGCATGAATACAAAGTTTTTCTAAACTACTCATTTACTTGAGAGAACCATTGGTTCATTAGGGCCTCTAGGTATTGGATGTGCCTCACTGTAACATTAATTATGGATGTGTTTCCAGTGCCATGAACAGACAACACACTTCAACCCATCACTTTTGTCAGGTTCTCGGGGTACATTATAATATGATAAATCTATGAAATATATTTAATCTAATAATTTGGCCACCTCTGTATATAATTGAATATTTGTATATCCTTTTTCCAAGTTTTTGGGTGTTCTTCATTTGGTACTTTAACATGTACTCTTATTGCGCATATAAAATTTACAAGATTAAAAGAATATTATTATATTTTTCAGAAAGCAAGAGTTAATTTTTGGTTGGAAAATTATTTAAATTTAGGTTACTTTTTTCATTATACCTTTGCTTCACATATTCACAATAATTTCAATAATATTATATTTTAAACATGTACAAAGCACATTTTCTATTCTGTTTGTCCCAAGGCACTACTAGAAACAGTAAAAAATCATAGCTACAATGGTATTCCTACTTTCAACTATAATAAAACCTGCTCAAATGGGCACCTTGATTTTGTGGTGTACTCTAATAATGGCCATTTTTTCATGGAACCGATTGATTTTTACATAAGACACATGTAAATATTTTGCCTTTTCACCGGCTACCTTGACTCAGTGTCTTGGTGCATAGATTGACCTTTATTAAGCAGTCACTTCAGGCTATTGTGAACAATGAGAAGAAGAAAAGGGGTGTAGATGGCTGCTGGTTTAATATCTTCCTATGAAGTGCACATTGTCTGATTGCTTCGAATAATGAGTCTATGACATTCAGTCTCTTATCTCGCAAGGGAGCTACTTTCTGTTTGAAGTAACAACAGATAATTTTATTAAATAGTATCTCTCAATGTAAGAAAAACATATTCATTCTCCTATTTTAAAGCATTCCTATGGTTTGCTAACTCTTACTTCCATAGGTGTCCGTACTGGTGAGGGGGGGAACTCTCCAAATAATTTAGCAATCCCTAAATGGTTGAACACAAAATCATTTTTATTTATTAATAGCTCATTAATTAGCTTCCTTTTTTAGTATGCTTTACTTATTTGAAGGTAAAATATATGCTAAGTAAACAAAATGTTTAAAGAAAAAGGGGGCCCAGGAATGTAGTTGCTTCCTCTTGTTTTACACTGTGCATGCCTATTGGTTTTTCCCTTCAATGAAAATCTTTTAAGGGCTCATGATCATGCCATGCGTCATTCACTAATCGAAAGGAGACTTGCTAACGCATTTGTCAGATAGCCCTGCTGTTAAGTTTCTCCAGGATATGAATTACATCCTCAAGTCTAATTTGTTTGTTTGATTTGACAAGGGCAGAAAGTGAGTCTCTTGACTAAGAGCATGAGTGCCAAGTCAAGGGTTTCTTTTGATATTAGCAGAGAAGAGGCAAATGATCCTAAATATCTTGTTTAAATTAATTTCTGAGATTTATGGTAATTAAAAATATTAAAGAGGTTATGCTCCATTTCACAACAATAAGCACAATTAGATTTGATTTTTGTTTCCAGTAACCTCATAATCTTTATTATGCAACACCACCTATAAATAGCCAATTTATAACACAACTATTGGTGATTACTGAAGTCAGGTTTCACTGTATTGCAAAGGAATACTGATTTTTGAACAAGTATTTTACAGCAAAATGTTAAAACATGGCTAATAAAAATTGTGATATTGTAACTAATCTATTAGTTGAATGACACAGATTATAATGTGTTGTACTTTGGTATATTCAATTTAGATCACCACTTATTTTTTTAATAATTTATGTCAACACATCTTACAGCAGAACAATCTTGAAGGGAGAAGAAAGAATGAAGAATGGCATCTGCAGATTCTAGAAGTGGATTAGGATGTTTGTGATCAGTGCCTTGAGAATGTGCTAAAAATTACATTTTTCAACAACCAATTAAACAAAACCCATGAATTGTGGACGGTTTGGATACTATTGTTAACAGAACATCAATGAATAAATATGTAAAATGTATAATATTTTGACCATCTTCTTCAAACACAGATACTTTTATGGAGAAGTTCAAAATGCAGTTCCCTGCACAACCACAAATAAATCAGTTCATAAGCATGAAATAATATAGTTCCATGTTTTCAATTTGCTAGAACAAATATTTAACATAAAACTCGTATTTAACGAGGGAAGAAAAATAAAAATAATCCTTCACACATTTTCCAGATCACAATACATTTATGTGGTAGGTGACTCAGCTTTGCACATTGCATACCTGGTTTTAGAATATTTACATAATACACACTTTTCACTCCATTATCAATACAGTGAAAAACTGTCAAACAGTCTGTCAGACAAACTGTCTTTCAGTGTCAACATCAACTTAACCATCTTAATATCATATGGATCTAAATGGTAATTTCCAGTTTTTACATACTAACAAATCGTAAAGCCTTCTTACAAATTACAATTTAATAACAGAACGCTGCATAAAATACCTCATTTAAACTTCTTGGATGTATCACTTTTCATCCTCAGACTGGAGGTATTTCAGCAACACTTCTGTGGGCAGTTTTTGTCAGCTCAACAATGTTAATAGGAAATTTTCTATTACTGCTTGAGCTGAAATAGAAAGATCATATGACTTACTTAAATATAAATTTCATGATTATTTGAGTTAATTACAAATCAATGTATTCTGTCTTTGGTACAACAAACAAAATTCAGTAATAAACCACTTTTATTTACAATTATTTTAACTGAAAGACATGTTTATTTAGTCCATAAAGTCTGCAGTTAAAATTACACGGTACATTTTAAAGTTATTGATGTACTTAAATAGTTTTTGAACTTTTACCTTTCTTATTACTACTTACTTTCTTAGTACAGATTAAAACAGACAAGAATTGTGTAAAACAGACCTAAACTGTACTAAAACCACTACAGATCTGTAAAGATATTACAAGACAATCATCTCTATAATAAGTTATGTGATTTTAATTATTTACCTGGTGACATAAAGCATAAACATTTACATTCAAATAATTTTAAAGAGTTAAAAAAAAAAAAAAAGAAAAAGAAAAGGTAACTAAATTATGTGAAAATTCAGTTAAAAATTTCCTTGACTGCCTCAAGTGAAGGCCAATTAATAAATTAAACTGTTTAGTTCTTATAGGAATGTTTTTAGTATTATTTTTGTTACTTGTCAATTTCAGAGATCTCAAGGCAGCGACTAAATTCAACCTAGCTGACAAGCTGGTGTCAAGAATCCTGCCATTGTCAGGAGTCAAACTTATCACCTCCTGGTCAGAGGAACTGCAGTGACACCAATTGATGCCCTGAGCCACCTCTCCCGGTCCATATTCAGGAAGACTATATTAAATTATTTTAAGCATACCTAAACTACTGCCTTTTTGCACAGTTAATCCATAAGCTGAATCACCATTGAGATTAAAGAGGGTCAGGTCAGCACCTCGAAGTAATAACTCATTTGTACAATGAGGATGGTCTCCATATGCTGCATACATAAGCGCAGTATTACCAACCTGAAATGATAACACAAAATTCATTCAGTAATTCTCAATTTTGTCCAAAAAAATTCATTACAGATCATCACATGTTACATAGCTTAAAATGAAGATTTATGTCAAGAGTCAAGAAATTTGGATTTGTCACAACAGATGTGACTACTACTTACATCGTCAGCATGATTAACATTGGCTCCTTCTGTGAGCAATATTCTCACAACATCGCTGTGTCCTCCAGCAGCTGCATATAGTAAGGCTGTCTCACCTTCTTTACCCTGTCTATCAACAGATGCTTTGTGCCTCAGTAAGAGTTGCACTGTAGGAACCTGTCCATAAGCACTAGCCCACATCAGGGCACTAAGTCCACTACTGTCAAGAACATCCACATCACTCTCTGAAACAATAATAAATAACAGTCATGTAAATAAAGTAACCAAGATTAGACATGAGCTTCATTTACAAAAGCTCTCATGTCAATTAATCTAGAAACATTAGCTCATTGTTGAAGATTGAAAAAACTAATAATATTTTAAGGTGCCTTCTACACTTTTTTTTAGATCACTATCAGAATATTACCTTGCTGAATATCAAGTTCAGTTATTTCACCCTGGCCAGCACGATGATGAAACCCAACATCAGTCTGCTCAGGAATGGGTGTTTCAGTGGGAATATTTCCCCTTTGTAGATTTGTCAACACAGTAGTTGGCTGTAACAATAGCACTTAGTCAGATCAATATGGTCTGAAGTCACCAGATAAATGCATTGTTCTCAACAAGATAACTAATAGACTAGACTTGTAGTATTAAAAAAATACCTTGTACGGTTGAAATGCACTTTTTCTTGAACCATCTTGCCAAGATCCTGGCCATCTCAGTCTTAAATCATTTAACCTTGATGAAACTTTACCTCCTGGAAGGGAAGGTGTTTTAGAGTCACCAGGGCCGTTTTTATTTTTACTATCATCACTTGAAAGCTCTGCAGGTGGCTCAGGAGAAGAGTCAACGTCTTGCTTCACAATAACTTCCTTCTTCGCATTATTTGACATGATATATCGTTTTTAACCTTATGCACAGGCCAGAATATCAAGAAACCATCGCATTATTTTCACACTTCCAATTGCAATTACAGAGTAATGTATTGTTTTCTTTAAGTAATGTCACAAATGAAAGTGTTACCCAGTTGTCACTATCTGTATTGCACAGCAACATGATTTTTTCGCCACATATTAGTAGTCTTCCCTCGTTGTTTACTGATTGTTTACGATAGATTGGATTTTGTTATGTTGCCTAACTACAAATGAATTGCGTTGAGCAGAGTTGGCTAAACTGACCGGTTGGTGGGAATTTTGAAGCACAAAGACATGCGATCACTTTCAAAATAGATTCGGTATCAACGTGAACTATTATTTTAGAAATAGATTTCAATGTATATTTCGATGATAATTTGGAGAATAAATGGTTTTAAAAGAAAATTTTCAATGAAAATACAATTAAGAAATTTCGAATATCACTTTAATAGGATTTTTACATCTTTAGGAATATTCACGCTCAAATAGTTCATAGAAAAGAAAGAAAGAAAGAAAAAAAAAACATCCACGTTCACTAAAGCGCTGCTATTCGTGGTAGGTTCGTTTTGATAACTTGAAAGCTAAAGCTAAAAAGAAGTTGAGAAATCGCACGTATCACAAGTTTTTGAACACGAACAAAATTACAATACGTAATTTATGCAGCTGGGAAGCATAGAAAGTGAAGAATACCTAAAAGGATAAATATTAAAAAATATAGTTGGAAATCAAAAAAAAAGTTTTATTCAGTAGTTTATGGCTAGCGAAAAATAATTCGTACCTAATGAACCCGAAAATAAAATTTTAGGGCGTACGTCACTCCGTTTCTGAGTTATGAACGATTGTAACGTGTATTGATATATTAGTGATTGTTTTATGATAATCTCTTCATAGTATGATTTACAAATTTCTGTAGTTTTCGTTTTAAATTTGATTGACACATATCTACACATAGACTTGGGGTGAACTTCCTACTTAGTTGGGATTTGTGAGAATGACTAAAAATTGAACAAATACTTCATATCGCTCGTATTTCCTTAACGTATTTTACTTACAAGGAATATGTAACAATGAAACATGAGTTTTCTTATCCGATCGCTTAAAATAAAACTCATATTAAAAGGTGTATATTAAAAATATTTTAATCGCAGCCTCCAGATCTCTCTTCACAAAGCCTGACGAAGAGAGCCAAATCACTCAAAAAGAAAAATTAACCGTTTGCTACGTAAAAAAACAACAGTACATTCTACTTTCCAAAGATCTGAATAGCTGATCAACAATCCGAAAAAATGAAGCTTTCCTAAGGAAATATTGTTCGAGTAATTTCCAAAGGTACGTTTTTGGGTTGGTTTTTACTGTCGTAATCTTTACTTCATTTATTTCTTGAAATATGGTTACTTTCGTATGAGCGTATTCGTAAGAACCTGTTTCACATTTTCCTCCTTAGGAGCGTGTTTGCAAATCTGGAAGAATTTATTTTTTAAATCTTGTTCTAATCGGCTATCAAGTACAACTATATAAACTTTATTCACGGAAAGCAAATTACTTCGTTATTCTTCGGAAACTATTTCTACAATGCCTTTTGGAGGTTTGTGTTTGTTACTTATGTCTGTTATGAATTTAAATATCTCCGTATACGATTTATGAGCAAATAAAGCGTTCAGTAATCGATAATGTCTGATTTTTTGTTGGCTACATTTATTATCTTAAAAGTTTCTTGTTTTTATTTGACTCGCTACCTTGTGTCACTACCTCTTCGTAAGAATTATCATCTCTTACACGGAAAGAGCATGTCCACAAGGGTACATCAAAACAAGAGGATGGGCAACTACATTCGAGGTCATCTTTCAATTGAATATTTTTATTTACACAATTATTAATAAATTAATAAAACATAGAAGGAGAATGGAATTATGCCTTCAATTATACAATTAATAAAATTGTTGATTCTACGTTAGATAATTTATACGGTTTTATCAGAATGCCTCATTCCCAAATGTAGAACAGTACCCTAAATTGTAATGTTAAAAAGGAAAAAATCTAGATTAAACATATTTAAGTACCTAAAACGTATGTAATAGTTTTATTACATAAGGCTAAGGGACCCCTTACAAAATTTTTGGTGGCCACTACATTGGTCCCCCTGCTACATCCACTGTGCATGCGTACGGGCATGACTAAATCCAGAACTGCAATAGTCACAGGCGACCGTAGCACGTAGCACGTACTGAGGATTTTTATGAAACGACTTAGCTGATTGGTTAAAGGCAGTTTAGATATCCGAGGACAATTCGTAACTCTTAACATTGACGATCAATTTACTTGTATCCTAAAAATTATTTTACGAAACGTTTATGAATTTATTTCGTTTAGTAGTTTTGTTCCATACCTAAAATTTTGTCTTTAGTTTTATAAAAATACTGGTAGTTCTTTTTTCATTCCATTAATAGTTTGACACATGATAGAACGTTTTGTTAGTAAAAATATTGCATGAACATAATGCATTGCAAAGAACAAATTGCCTCTTCACTTTTTTCTTGCTTCCGTCTTATTTTAGTAATGTGGGGGGGGGTAGCATATACACCGCACAACTAAACGCTTTTATACTGATTCTGAGAGTATCAATATATTAATAATTTAACAATGCAATTAGTTAATTCAGAATAGCTGTTTTCAAGCACGATGGAGTAAAACTGAAGCGCCGCTGCGACATAATAGGGCGGGAGAGGGTTTTCCTCCCGTTTTAGCCTCAAGGCTAAAACGTCACCGTTCTCGGTGCACTCTAGCGCATGAAACCTCATCAAAAAATTAAAGTTAGTAAATGCACTTTGTAGAGAGTTTTATCTTCTGTGATTTCTTATTCGAAGAACATGTCAATAAAGTGCATAGTTGTCGAAATATAAGTAAAAAATCTGAAAACAGTGCAAAATTGTTAGTATTTTTGCAATTTTCTTTGTGTGACCGAAATTTTTTGACGTGGAAAACCTCATATTCAAACTCAGCACTGTATTTTTCTTCAAGACCCTCATATCCTCCGTCTCGTGTTCCAAATGACTCCTTGTAATTGATAATAATTCAAAATACCTTAGTGAGTACAAACTATTCTTAGTTAACTTTATTACCGAGAACAGAGGTGCATCCGTGTAATTCAGTCAGGCTATGCACGTTTCTGAGCAGGTGGGGTAATAGCGAGAAGCGAAGGACCAGCAAAAACGTAATAGAATGTTCAAGAAGATCTCACACTGTAGATTACGGCGAGAGGAGCGTTTCTTTGAGGCTTTAGGCTTCAAATTTAGTTTCAAAGGCACTAGAACGTTTCGTTTAGGAGTTATTTAACGAAAAAAGATGCTGTTGAGCGATGCGGGTTGCATTTGACATTAATATTTAGATTGATTAAAAAATTAAACAATCCTTCATATGTCTAAAGACAAAATGCAATTCGTCATGTCACGCGAAAACAATATTTCTTTAAAGATCTCATTTATAAAGATTGGTGAGAGCCGCAAAAGGTATCTATACTACTGATATAATATAGAAGGCTATAATCAGGGCTATAATGTACCAGACCAAACAAGGACCACTTGTTATTTTTGCACAATGCCCAAGAACCAGCCTTCGTGATTCTAATCAAGTAACAAAGAATATAAGATTCCTTTAGAAAAGACTAAGTTACTTAAAACACTCCTTCAGTGCAAGTACTGGAAACTAATCGAGTCCATATCGTGAACGCCGTTCCGTCACCTAGTTGTTGAACGACACGTTAATGAGGGCATATCGGTATATCTGGTAGGGATGGTTCATTTAACAGAAATTGACTTCGGTTTTCTTAAACTTTTGTTTCTCCCCAAAATGCGCTGTCACATCTCGAAACAACAGAAGTTATGATATTCTTATTCGTCCTTGTTCCTCGTTCGTATGGTGTCCTTGTTCGTCCAGCACCGCGAGTCGTAGCCGATTGTTTTATTAGGCAACCCCCTCGACGTTCATGTGTTAGAGGCTTTCGTGATGCAGCAACCCCTATAAGCGTTAACGCGGAGGAGGAGATTGAGAAAGAAGAGAAGGAGAAGAAAGAGCAAACGGAGACGAAGATGATGAAGAAGAAAACAAACAAGGAGAAAGCTATTGATTTAGTCTAATATTATGTGCTCTATATTCTCTTAACGAATTATGTATACGTACTAGTTAAATTTGACGTCGCTGACACTAAATTGTTTTAAAAGTATTTTCATGTGTTGAAAATTTCTAAATTTGCTGCATAGATTTGTTCAAATAAGTTCTTACAGACTCTAGCATTGAACCTACCAATGAATCGTAGTAGCAGCTAATGTTATACTTCCGTATAAAATTTCCTAACATCCTATGACCCTGCATGTTACCTTTATACGTTATATAAACTGGTAATATTGCAATTTTAAAATTGTAATAGCCGCAAAATATACTTGCAGGAATGGAGTATATGAATATAGAAATTAGCTTCATTTTGAACCTTAATTTGCAAATATGCACAAAAATTCAGGTGAAAGATCACCTGTAAGCTGTTCTGCAGCGTTATTCTCTTATCCTACTATAAAATCATTCTCAATTAGTTCCGAAAAGTTTGTGACAATACCTTCTACATTTACATTTGATTCTTCCCCCATATTTGCACCCTTAAGTATGTAAATGTGCACAATTGAATATGCGTGGGCTTCCGTTATCTAACATTACTCACAGTTCTGGTTTTATCAGTATCCACCTGGCATCCTTAAAATTTAATATCTTCTAAAGTAACACTATACAGAGGTGTTTTAAAATTTAGTATTAAAATACGTTAATAAGGACGAAACTCTTCATTTCTTATGTTCAAAGTAGCATCACTATTGACAGTTCTGCCGCATGTTTCTCATGTTCGAGAACAGTTCTGACATCGACGTAGAAGAAAATTATGGCGTCGTGGACCGAAAATTAGGGGGAGTAATCAACGCCATCTACATAGATCTATTTATGTGGCATTGGTTTAGTTGTCCATCTACCCACTGAGATCACAGCGCTAAAACATGCAAAAATACGTTTATGGAGTTTTTTCGAATCTTCTGGCCGGATCTGGCACAAATTATCAGTTTTCCACCAGGAGGCAGAGACGCATCGAATGACTCCTCACGTATCTGGATTGGTGCAAAGGGTGGTCTAACCGTCAGTGATGGATCCGCATAAACGCGCACATGCTCACACGCACA